GGGCTCGGGGGGACATTTGGGGGCTCAGGGGACATTCACGGGCCTTAAAAGGGACATTTGGGGGGTTTAAAAGGGACATTTAGGGTTTCAGGGACACCTTTGGGGCCTCAGAGGGACATTGAGGGGACATTTAGGGGTTTAGAGGGGACATTTGGGGTCTCGGAGAGGGCATTTAGGGACTCAGAGGAACATATGGGGGCTCAGAGGGATATTTGGGGGCCCAGAGGGGACATTGAGGGGCTCAGAGGGACATTTAAGGTCTCAGAGGGAACATTTGGGGTTTTGGCGAGGACATTTGGGGTCCTAGAAGGGACTTTTAGGGGCCCAGAGGGGTATTTAGAGCCCCAGAGGGGACATTCGGGGGCTCAGAGGGACATTTAGGGGCTCAGAGGGGACATCTAAGGTCTCAGACGGGGTTTTTGGGGTCCTGGAGGGGACTTAAGGGGTCAGAGGGGCCATTTGTGGCCTTAGAGGGGACATTTAGGGTCTCAGAGGGGACATTTAGGGGCCCAGAGGGGACATTTGGGATCCCAGAGGGGATGTTGGGGGTCCCAGAGGGAACATTTGGGGTCCCAGAAGGGACATTTAAGGTCTCAGAGGGGACATTTAGGGTTTTAGAGAGGACATTTGGGGTCCCAGATGGACATTTAAGGTCCCAGAGAGAACATTTGGGGCCCCGGAGGGACATTGAGGGCCCCTGAGGGGACATTGGGGGCCCTGAGGGGACATTGGGGTCCCCGAGGGGACATTTAAGGTGCCAGAGGGGCATTCAGGGCCCCGAGGGGACATTTGGGGTCCCAGAGGGACATTCAGGGCCCCGAGGGGACACTGAGGCCCCCGAGGGACATTCAGGGTCCCCAAGGGACATTCAGGGTCCCCGAGGTGACACTGAGGCCCCCGAGGGGACATTCAGGGTCCCCGAGGTGACACTGAGGCCCCCGAGGGGACATTCAGGGTCCCCGAGGTGACACTGAGGCCCCCGAGGGACATTCAGGGCCCAGAGGGACATTCAGGGTCCCCAAGGGACATTCAGGGTCCCCGAGGGACATTGGGGGCCCTGAGGGGACATTCAGGGTCCCCGAGGGGACATTGTGGTCCCCGAGGGACATGGGGTCCCCGCGGTGACGCCCGCTGTCCCCGTCCCCAGCGCGGCGAGGACGAGTACGCCGACGTGGACGCCATCGTGGTGGCCGTGGGGGTGGACGAGGAGATCGTCTACGCCAAGTCCACGGCGCTGCAGGTGGGGGCGCCTATGGGGTGCCCTGTACGGCCCTATGGGGCTATGGGGTCCCCTATACGGCCCTATGGGGGTCCCTATGGGGGTCCCTATGGGGCTATGGGGTCCCCTATATGGCCCTATGGGGCTATGGGGTGCCCTATACGGCCCTGGGGCTATGGGGTCCCCTCTACGTGCCTATGGGGATTCCGTCGGGTCCCTATGGGGTCCCCTATACATCCCTATGGGTCGCTGTGGGGCTATGGGGTCCCCTATACATCCCTATGGGTCGCTGTGGGCCTATGGGGTCTCCTATATGTTCCTATGGGGGTCGCTATGGGGGCTATGGGGTCCCCTATACAGGCCTATGGGGGTCCTTATGGGCCTATGGGGTCCCCTGTAGGTCCCTATGAGGGTCGCTATGGGGCTATGGGGTCCCCTATACAGCCCTATGGGTCGCTGTGGGGTTATGGGGTCCCCTATACGCCACTATGGGGGTCGCTATGGGGCTATGGGGTCCCCTATACGGCCCTATGGAGTACTATGGAGCTATGGGGTCCCCTATACATCCCTATGGGGGTTCTTAGGGGTCCTTATGGGGGTCTCTATGGGGCTATGGGGTCCCCTATACATCCCTATGGGTTGCTGTGGGGCTATGGGGTCTCCTATACGTCCCTATGGGTCGCTGGGGGTTCCTGTTGTTCCACAGGGGGTCTAGGAGGGTCCCTGCGGGGTATGGGGATCCCTATAGGTCCCTGTGAGCCAAGGGGAGCCTCTATGTGTCCATGGGGACCCTTATGGGGGTCCCTATGGGGGTCCTTGTGGGTCCCTAGGGGTCCCTATGGGGGTCCGTATCGGTCCCTATATGTTGCTATGGGGTTCCCTATGGGACTATGGAGGTCCCTATGTGGGTTCCTATGGGGCTATGGGGGTCGCTATGGGTTCCTATAGGTCCCTATGGGGGTCCCTATGGAGCTACGGGGGTCCCTATGGGGGTCCTTGTGGGTCCCTATGGGGCTATGGGGGGTCCTGTGTGCGTCCCTATGGGGCTATGGGGGTCGCTATGGGTTCCTATAGGTCCCTATGGGGGTCCCTATGTGGGTCCCCGTGGGGCTGTGGGGATCCGTATAGGTCCCTATGGGGATCTCTATGGGTTGCTGTAGGTTCCCGTGGGGGTCACTGTCCCTATGCTTTTGGGGGTCCCTATGTGGGTCCCTATGGGGCTATGGGGGTCTCTATGGGGGTCCCTATAGGTCCCTATGTGGATCCCTATGGGGCTATGGGGTCCCTATGGGTCCCTATACGTCCCCATGTGGGTCCCTATCGGGCTATGGGGGTCGCTATGGGTCCCTATAGGTCCCTCTGTGGGTCCCTGTGGGGCTGTGGGGGTCCCTATGGGTTCCTATAGTTCCCTATGCGGATCCCTATGGGGCTGTGGGGTCCCTATGGGTCCCTATAGGTCCCTATGTGGTTCTCCATCGGGCTATGGGGGTCGCTATGGGTCCCTATAGGTCCCTCTGTGGGTCCCT